GGGTTTCACCATGTTGGCCAGGATGGTCTCGATTTCTTGACCTTGTGATGCACCCGCCTCGGCCTCCCAAAGTGCTATGATTACAGGTGTGAGCCACCGTGCTCGGCGAGCCTGGCTGGGGCTTTTTTTCCCAACTTCATTTAATTTTTTTACAAAAAAAATTCATAACTAATGACTGAGCTTCAATCCAGTTATCAGAAAGCTTATGCTTGGAACAACTTGAGTCTGAATCTACTTTTTGAACTGTTGTCAATGGTTTTATGAAATCTAAATATAGATCAAGTATTCCCAATAAAATTTAGCATTCAAATTGTGATGTAAAATCTGCATCAGATTTTGAAGAGCTAATATGAAAAAATACAAAATATCTTAATAATGCTTTTTGTTTGTTTGTTTTGAGGAAGAATCTTGCTCTGTTGCCCAGGCTGGAGTGCAGTGGCATGGTCTTGGCTCACTCCAACCCCTGCCTCCTTGGTTCAAGCAATTCTCCTGCCTCAACCTCCCGAGTAGCTGGAATTACAGGCATGTGCCACCATGCCCGGCTAATTTTTGTATTTTTAGTAAAGATGGGTTTTTATCATGTTGGCCAGGCTGGTCTCAAACTCCTGACCTCAAGTGATCCACCCGCCTTGGCCTCCCAAAGTGCTGGGAATACAGGCAGGAGCCACTGTGTCCAGCCATGTGGCTTTTTCTTCTTCAGATTCACCAGATCCTGTCTTGACTCTGAGCCTTTGCATATGCCATTCCCTCTCCCTGGAACACTTGTTCTTATCCTTCCTAGCTTGCTAACACAATACCTTCTGTTTTTTTGTTTGTTTTTGAGACAGAGCCTTGCTCTGTCACCCAGGCTGGGGTGCGGTGGCGTGATCTTTGCTCACTGCCATCTCCGCCTCCTACGTTCAAGCAATTCTCTGCTTCAGCCTCCTAAGCAGTTGGGATTATAGGTGCCTGACACCATGTCCAGCGTTTTTTGTTTTTGTTTTGTTTTTTTTTTGAGACGGAGTTTCACTCTTGTTGCCCAGGCTGGAGTGCAATGGAGTGATGTCAGCTCACTGCAACCTCCACCTCCCGGATTCAAGCGATTCTCCTGCCTCAGCCTCCCAAGTAGCTGGGATTACAGGCATGTGCCACCACACCCAGCTAATTTTGTATTTTTAGTAGTAGAGACGAGGTTTCTCCATACTGGTTAGGCTGGTCTTGAACTCCTGACCTCGTGATCCACCTGCCTTGGCCTCCTCAAGTGCTGGGATTACAGGTGTGAGCCACTGCACCCAGTCACACAATGCATTCTTTAGGCTTCAGATGAGCTGTGATCTCTACCAGGAAGGCTTCTGGTTTTTCCAGCACTGCCTCTGAATATCCACCATGCCCTGTGCGTCCCCTGTCCTGCCATCATCGTTCCGTATGGCAACTGACTGCCTGTCACACATCCGATGCTGCCGCCACCCCACCTGCAGCCTGCAATCCCTAGGAAGGCAGAGGAGACTCTATCCTGTTCATCTCACCTCTAAGAACCCATCCCTCAACCCCTCACCTGCTGCTTCCCATCCATTCTCATGCCACCCCCACCTCGGCCTCTGGTGACTCACCTTCTTCCCTCGACGGAATGTGCTATACCAGCCTCCAGGCTTTTCCTTGGACCAGGAGGCCAATTTCACCTGGAGGAGAAAGGGGAGGGTCACTGTAGCAGACGCCCTTGGTGCCACCTAGATCCCATCTGCATTTCCCTCCTCACACCAAAGGCTGCTGACTGTGACCATGTCAGGATGTTCTCTGGCTCCTGGGACAGATGGGCTCTGCCAGTGCACAATCAGCGAAAGGGGGTTCATGCCCCTGAGGCAGCCCTCACCCAATGACTGATGAGAGTTGGTGGATAAATACCCCAGCTCCCTTGCCTCCTAGGGGGATAACTCTCAGGTGCCAGTGCTACAGTCTCCCAGGGTTCCCCAGTGGGACTGAGCTCTGGGTCCCCAGATGGTACCATTTTATTTTATTTATTTATTTATTTATTTAATTTAGTTTTGAGACAGGGTCTCACTCTATCACTCAGGCTGAAATGCAGTGACATAATCTTAGCTCACTGCACTTTCAAACTCGTGGGCTCAAGCAATCCTCTCACCGCAGCCTCCTGAATAGCTGGAACTACAGGTGTGCACCACCATGCCCAGCTTTTTAATTTTTTTAATTTTTTGAGTGTCTTATTCTGTCACCCAGGCTGGAGTGCAGTGGTGTGATCACTGGCTCACTGCAGCCTTGTCCTCCAAAGTTCAAGCCATCCTCTGTCCTCAGCCTCCTAAGTAGCTGGGACAACAGGAATATGCCACCGTGCCCGGATTTTTTTTTTTTTTTAAGAGCTGGGGTCTTTTTACGTCACCCAGGCTGGTCTTGAACTCCTGAGCTCAAGTGATCCTCCCACCTCAGCCTCCCAAAGTGCTGGGATTACATGTATGAACCACGGTGCCTAGCCCCAGCCTCTCCCTTTAGGCTAGTAGAAGGTAAGCAGGAGAATGAAGAGGAGGCCCTCAGATGTTAGCAATTGTTTAGGGATCAAGGCCTACACTCCAGGCCCGGGAAGTGGGAAGTCCAAGCTTGTCTAAATTCCCATGCACTGGGCATCTGACCTCCCACTAAACCAGGGGATGATAGACCAGTTAAAAATAACAACGTGAGCTGGGTGAGGTGGCTCAAACCTGTAATCTCAGCACTTTGGGAGGCCGAAATGGGTGGATCACTTGAGGCCAGGAGTTTCAGACCAGTCCCACCAACATGGTGAAACCCCACCTCTACTAAAAAATACAATACAAAAATGAACTGGGTGTGGTGACAGGTGCCTGGACAATTTTTTAATTTTTGTAGAAACGGGGTTTTGCCATGTTGCTCAGGCTGGTCTCGAACTCCTGAGTCATGCAATCCACCCGCCTCAGCCTCCGAAAATGCTGAGATTATAGGCCTATGCCACCACGCTGGCCTGATTCTTTTTCTTTTTGATCCTCTGCTGTAGTCTTAGCTCTTGAGACAGGACTTGATATACAGTAAGTGCTCAATAAATGTCAGTTGAAGGAAGGATACCATCACAGACAAGGTGAGGGTGGGTGTGAGGAGCAGGGAACAGCCCTTCTTGGGGGAGGGGATGAGAGGTTTGGGGCACTCACGATCTCAAACTTCTTGTCGGGATAGAGGCAGGTCTCTCCTCCCGCCGTGAAGTTGCAAAAAACCCTGAACGAGTCCCGCGCGCAGCCCTGGTTGGGGTCAATCCAGTATTCCCCTGCCGCAGAGCCAGGCGGGATGGGTGAGTCCGGGTGGACCCGACGGACCCCACCCCCAACCCCATCCCATCCCAGTGGCGGGGGAACCGGACCTCACCATCAGGCAGGTGCGGGTGGTTGCGGTGCAGCTCGTGGCACACGAGGCCCGGGCGCTCCGCGGTGCCGGGAGGACGCTGCAGCTGCTCCAACTCCAAGCTCAGCGACGTGAGCGAGGCCAGCACCTCCTCCAGGCCGCCCTCCACGAATGGGAGCGGGGCTGGGACCGAGCGCCGGCGCCTGCGCAGCCCGTGCAGCTCGGCAGGGGGACCCTGGGTGTGGGGGATGGGGACCGAGGAGAAGGGAGGGGAGATGGGGGAGGGACAGACGGGAGAAAGAGACAGGCAGAGATGAAGGGGCAGAGAGACGCAGATGAGAAAGAGGAGGGAGAGATAAACAAGGGGCAGAGACAGAGAAAGAGAGAAGCAGACAGGGAGAGACACACAGGAAAGAGACAGATTCAGAGACGGGGAGAAGCCAGATTGCAAGAGGACAAAATAGAAAACCGCAGGAAAAGCAGACACAGAGGGAGACAGAGCAGGAAAGAGAAGAGATGAAATAGTGGCGCAAGGGAGCCAGAGACAGGTAAAGGAGATGGAGAGATGGGAAGGGAGAGATGGGGTCCGGGAGAGAAGACCCAGGTCAGAGCCCCCATGGGTGTCCCCTTAAACCCCCCTCCCAGCCCAGACCTTCCTTGGTGTTTTGCAGGGAACTGCCCTCTTCACCTACATCCCATGAACACCAGTGTGTGCCTGGCCCAGTGCTGGGCACAGAAGGACCCTCTGGGGACACCCAGATATAGTCCTTGCTCTCCCCCCAGGCCTTGGCGCTCAGCCCCCTCTCCCTGGGGAACTCACGGGGGGACCTGGGGGGCCTGCAGGTCCGGTGTCTCCACGGGGGCCCATGGAACCCTGTAGGGAGAAGTCACTTGGAGGGTGAGCTCTGTGGAGACCCTTCCCACCAACACACACACACACACACACACACACACACACAGCCTTGGGGAAAGGACATAAAGTTTTCAGTACTATAAGACACAAAATTTCCTTCCTTCCTTTCTCCCTTCCCCTTCCCCTTCCCCTTCTCCTTCCCCTTCCCCTTCCCCTTCCCTCCTTCTTGGCTGGAGTGCAGTGGCACAGTCTCGGCTCTCTGCAACCTCTGCCTCCTGGGTTCAAGCGATTCTCCTGCCTCAGCCTCCCGAGTAGCTGGAATTACAGGCGCCCACCAGGATGCCCAGCTAATTTTTGTATTTTTAGTAGAGACAGGGTTTCACCAGGTTGGCCAGGCTGGTCTCTAACTCCTGACCTCGTGATCAGCCCGCCTCAACCTCCCAAAGTGCTGGGATTACAGGTGTAAGCCACCATGCCCAGCCACAAATTTTCATGTTTTAATGTCTCTGAAATCAGCATCTTAACATCTTTGGCAAGTCATCGTTTACTTGACAGAACTGTTTTCTCTCCTAGCAGTTTATAAATAATGGTACATCTTATAATTGATGGCATTTTGGATCTGATGAAATACAACAGTAGGTGTTGAATAAATATTTGTCAAAGGCACGATGGCATGAATAAAGAAAGAAATGAAGGCAGAGGCGTGGAGGATTCGCATGCAGTGGAGGGGATGGGAGCTGGGCTGCAACAAGCCCAGGGAAGCAGGGTGTACTCACCGGAGACCCCTTTGAGCCTTTCTGTCCCAGAGGGCCCTGTGGGGCACAGACAGGGAGAGCTGAGGTCCTGGCCTGGTCTGCCATAGTGACCTCATCCCACAAGATTCCCTTCATACTCACCACCATGCCTGGGGGCCCAGGGTGGCCCAGAGAGCCGATGGGACCAGGGGGACCCTTGGGAAAGGACATCAGGGTCAGTATTGGTGGGGTACACCCTATTGCCCTTACAGATCCCCCAGACAAGCCTTCAATCCCATCCAAGGAAGACCCAAACCCTAGGCAAGCCTCCAATTCCCCAACAGAGAGACCTCAAACCCCAGACGCGGCCTCCAACTTGCCAGTTTCCAGATACAGCCCCCTATTTTCCCCAGACACACCCTTATTAATTCAGACCCACATTTCCCGGACCCCATACCCACAATCTCCCAACAGGTCCTCCACCCACCCCTCCTTCAAACATATTTCTCCCACTCTGGGCAGAACACTCACAGGGTCTCCCTTGGGGCCAGGAGGTCCCTGCACACCTGGCAACCCCTGATCTCCTTTCTCACCAGCTTCCCCCGAGGGGCCAATGAGACCAATCAATCCAATGTGGCCCTGGAGGACAAAAGAGGCACAGGCAGCGGAGGACATGGGAGGATGCAGGAGATTTTTCTCCTAGAGCCTTAGGGTGATAAGTTTGGGAACAGGGGAGGCCCTAATCTCCCAGCCCCTGGCCAGGGAGGGAGGGAAAGAGGGGAGGAGATGGGGAAGAGAATAATGGAATGATATTCTTACCTTTTCCCCCTTGGGGCCAGCATCTCCCTTCAGCCCTGGGAGGCCAGAGGGCCCCTGGGAGGAGAGCAATTGTCAGTGAGGGATTCTCAAATGTGAATGCTCAAGGTCCGTGTGGGTGGCTAGGGGATGGTCACATGGGAAATTATGCACATTTCAAATGGGAATGATCAGGGATGGAGTCAAAGCATGGTCAGTGTAGGCCAAGGTGGGATGATGAGAGCCAATGAGGGGCTGATTGGAGGATAGACAATGTGAGTGGTCAGTGGCCAAGGTCAGCATGGGTGCTCAGTGTAGACCATCAAGGTGGAGGGTCGGTGTGCTCAGTGTAGACCATCAAGGTGGAGTGTTAGAGCAGACAGTTATAGAGACCAGCAGTGTAGACCATCAGGGTGGAAGGTCAGAGCAGAAAGTTAGTAGACACAGACAGTATGGACATTCAGATGGTCAGTGAGCGTCAGCCTGCACCAGTGCTCACTAGGTGGTCACTGGGTGCCCAGATTGGTCCTCAGAGCCAGGACCGCAGGGATAAGCAAGTCTCTTACCAGGGGGCCGGGAGGGCCCATCCGTCCAGGCGATCCCAGGAGGCCTGGTTCACCCTGAGGATGAAACAGAACATGGGATGGGCTGCACCCTGCCAGAACCCAGTGTGGACCCCCCTGCACCATGTACCAGGGGCAGCCCCTCCAGATGGTGATGGGATTGCAACCTGGGAGCAGGCGGGGGGAGGGGCTGGACCCACCCTGTCCCACCCCTGCTCCACCCCACTCACCACAGGGCCGGGGATCCCTCGAAGACCTTCGGGTCCCACACGTCCAGGAGGCCCTCGAGCCCCCATTGGACCTGTCCTCCCTGGGGGCCCGTCAGGACCTGGCTCTCCCTGAAATGGACACAGGCAAGAGGGGGACAGAGTCAGAGGATTCCTGCCTCATGGTCCACAGCCAGATACCACCCAGGACCCAGAAAGAGTGGGTGCCTGGGGTGGTCACAGGTCCACCCTCACCTGGTGGCCCCACTATTGGCCTAGGATAGCACAGGGACCCTTCCCCTTTTCAGAGGGACTCACCTTGGCACCTTTCTCCCCTTCTCTGCCTTCTCGACCCATGCGGCCTGAAGGACCCTGGGAAGGGAAAGAAGTGAGGGGAGGTTAGGGGCTGACTGGGGGTCTGAGGGGTGACTGGGGGCTGTGGGGTGAGTGGGGGCTGTGGGTATGTGGGGATCTGTAAGGTGAGTGGGGGCTGTGGGTGAGTGGAGCCTGTGGGTGAGTGGGGTCTGTAAGGTGAGTGGGGGCTGTGGGTAAGTCAGGGATCCAGGAGGTGGTTCATCACTTACCCTCTTGCCGGGGGGCCCAGGGGCGCCGGGTTCCCCAGAAGCTCCAGGCGGGCCCTGGAGGAGACAAGGACACCAGCTGTGGTCTCAGCTAATGTTGTTTGAGCCTCACTGTTTTAGGACGCCTTGGACCAGAGGACAGCCTTCCGTAGGCATCACCCCAGCACCGGGCACTCCCACCTCCCACCTGCTCCCTCAAGCTGTTCACATTCCTGGGGGTCCCCAGAGAGGTGAAGCAGGAGCATCTGCAGGAGCCTTGGGTACCCCACTAGCCCACTCCCCTGCCCCCCAATTTACTCAGCTCCCCAACCCCCCTCCCAGCATCACACCCTGTTTCCCCACTCACCGGCCCCCCAACGTCACCAGGGTCTCCCTTCTCCCCTGGGGAACCGTCTATGCCCTGCATGGGGGAAGACAGAGTTGAGTGGGGTGATGAGGGTACATGAGAATTTGGGGTGGGGCTTGGAGGCAAACGAAGGTTATTGGTTCCACTGTCAGTGCCCAGGTCTGTGGGGGTGGGGAGATGGGGACACAATCCGGAAACATGCCAGGATTGGGGAGGGGAGGGGGTCACACTCACTGAAACTCCAGGGTCTCCTGGGGGCCCTAGATCTCCAGGGAGCCCTGTGGGGCCCTGGAACACAGAATGATTAATAATCACATCTCTGAATTGTTGAGCAATCACGCATTTATGAAACAGATCAACTGTATCCAGGAACAGTTTGCTTTCTGGGAACACATTCGTGAGCAAAACATAAAATCCCTGGCCTGGTAGAGCAAACATTCTCCCATTTCATGGGTGCAGGCTCTGAGCTAAGAATGCTGCATGCATGGTCTCACTGCAGCCTCCTCACAGCCTCCCAGCTCGGGACTCACAGGGAAAACTGGGCATTCACTTGTCCATCCCTTCATTCATTCATTTATGCATCCATATACTCAGAGAAGGGACATTCCGAACGATGAGACTCAAGTGGAGGTCCCACCGATGTTAAAGCCCCTCCCTGACCTCCACCTACCCCAAACCCTACTGTGGTGGCAAAAGGGCCTCAACCTTCACCTCAACACCAAATCCCACATCCACTCCCAATGTGACCCAATTTAACCTTCACCTTTACAACAGTGTTAGAATGATTCGCTGTGAAATCAACTTTCATGCCATACAATGATGTATAAGCACTGTACATATATGTTTCTTTTGGTGTGTGTGTGTGTGTATTTTTTTTTAGTAGAGATGGGGTTTCACCATATTGGCCAGGCTGGTCTTGAACTCCCGACCTTGTGATCTGCCTGCCTCGGCCTCCAAAAGTGCTGGGATTACAGGTGTGAGCCACCGTGTCCGGCCATTTCTGTTTCGTTCACACATTTATTCACTAATTCACTCATCCATCCATCCATTCACTCATCTATTCAGTAATTTCGTTCACTTATACATCTGTCCATCCATTCAGTCATCATTCACTCATTCACTCACTCATTTGTCCATTTGGCCACTCATTTATTCATCCATTCATTCACATTCATGCGTCCATTAATTTACTTGTTCTTAATTTATTCATTCATTCATTCACTCATTTATTCATACGCATTTATTCATTTGCATATTCATCCATCCACTGATTTATTCACTTGTCCATTCATTAATTCACTGATTCATCCATTCATCCATTTATTTATTGAGACGGAGTCTCGCTCTGTTGTCCAGGCTGGAGTGCAGTGGCACAATCTCAGCTCACTGCAACCTCTGCCTCCCTGGTTCAAGCATTTCTCCTGCCTCAGCCTCCCAAGGCAGCACATCCCGCCATGCCTGGATAAGTTTTGTATCTCTTTTAGTTGAGACAGGGTTTCACCATATTGGCCAGGCTGGTCTTGAACTCCTGACCTTGTGATCCACCCGCCTTGGCCTCCCAAAGTGCTGGGATTACAGGTGTGAAACACTGAGCCTGGCCACTTGTTTATTAATCCATCCATCCATGTTCTGGGGGTTGCTCATGAAATCAGTAAAAAATTTGGGAGAGCTTCAAGCACACTCAAGCGCCCCCTCACATGTCTGCCTCCACTTCCCCCCAGGGCTCACCATGTTCCCTTTGGCTCCATCCTCTCCAGGGGGACCTTTCTTGCCTGGGGGTCCAGCAGCTCCAGATGGGCCTGAGTCCCCCTTTTCACCAATGTCTCCTTTGGGCCCCTTGACAGAAACAGATCAGAGGTCAGAGTGGCCTGGACTGTCTAGGGATCAAGGATTAGCATACTTGGATTCAGGTATCGGGGTGGTCTGGGACTTTTCTGGGGTCAGGGTTCAGAGTAGACTAGGCTGTCCAAGGATCAAAGGTCAGAAGGAGCTAGCTATGACAGTGAAAGGTCAGGATGGTATAGGTGCCCACTGGTTATGTGCAAGGTTGGCCTAGCCCATGTGCTGCCCTTGAATGAATTAGAAGAGGGGTCCCCTCTGGGCAACTCATCCTCAAGTCAGGACTCATGACTCAGATTTGAGCCCTCACCTATCCTCTGGGCCATGCAGTCTTGTGCAGCGTGCAACCTGCAGAACTGTACATAGCAGCCCTGTCTGAGACCTTCCACATGTCCTTCCTCAAGGTAATCAGGGATGCCCACAGGACAGGGGTGAGTGGATGACTTTTGACTGCACAGAGATCAAGGTGGCCTAAGATGCCCAGGGGTCAGGGGTTCCCTGAGATGAGTGCAGGGACCACATCACATAGTCACTCACCGGGATGCCTGGGGCTCCTGGAGGCCCTGGGTCTCCAGCCTCCCCTGGCTCACCCTGCAAGAGGCAAAGTGAGGATGGGGAGAGGTCCCAACCTAGCAGACAGGGAGGGGCTCCCCAGAATGGTCCTGCCCCTCAGGACTGGATTTGCCTCTTCCCCCCTGTGCAGCCCCTGCTTTCCACCGCTCACCTTCTCACCCACGGCGCCTGGCTGACCAACTCCTCCAGGCAGCCCTGGAATGCCCTGGAGAGACAGCAAGGGGTAGGAGCGGGACTATGGAATTCCAACATCTTCTTACTAGGAAATGGGTGCCCCATCTCTGAGCCATCTTGGCCTCCCAAGAGTTCTCACCTCTGATCCACTGGGGCCTTGGGGTCCCCGAGGACCTGGAGCTCCATGGGGACCCTGTGGAAGGGTCAGAATAGTATCCAGTGACCCCATGGCCCCCAAAAGGCCACGGTGACCACAGATACCACTCTCGATGCTGGTTACCCTTGAGGACCTTAAAATGACAATGTCCCTCAAATGAATCTAATGCCTCCCCCAACCCTGTAACGCCACCATCCTCTCCCCACCCCCAACCTTTCCCTGGGAGTGCATACCATGGACCCAACGTCTCCAACCTCCCCTTTTTCTCCAGGAGGGCCTGGTAGCCCCTGTGGAACAAAGAAGCAAGATTGGGGCACCAGGTAGGGAGACTCAGAGGTGACATCCCAAACCCAGACACCTACCTGCAATCCAGGAGGGCCAATCACCCCCACAAAGCCTCTGACTCCATCATCTCCTTTCTGCCCAAAGAGGCCTGGGGGTCCCCGGCGCCCCTGAGCCCCGTCTGCTCCCTGGAAGAACACAGACAGGGTCATATTTAGGATCTGGGTCAGGGATTAGTGCAGAATGAGGCTCAAGGGTCAGGACTGAGGTTAAGGGTCAGAGTCAGGGTTCAGGTTAAGTTTAGGGAGGGTCAGGGTTGAGTTTGGAGTTGGGGTCCAGGTTAAGGAACAGGGCTTGGGAATGAAGTCAAGGGTTGAGTCAAGGTGTTAAACAGTGAGTTGGATGTGCAGTTGAGGTTCAGTTCACGGGCAGGGTTCAAATGGGGTTGAGATAGGATTTAGCGTTGGGTTTAAGGTTGGGGCCAGGGTCATATTCAAAGTTTGAGTTCAGGTCTGGGGTCAGCATCAGAAGCGTGGGTCAGAGGCAGGGTTAAAAATAGGGCTGTATGTTCCTATAGTATGGTAATAAACAAAAAGGACAGGTCTGGGTCATGGCTTGTTTAAGAGATTTGTTTGGTTGGTTGTTTTTGTTTGTTTCGTTTTGTTTTAAGGAGTCTCACTCTGTCATCCAGGCTGGAGTGCAGTGGCATGATCTTGGCTCACTGCAACCTCTGCCTCCCCGATTCAAGCAGTTCTCCTGCTTCAGCCTCCCGAGTAGCTGGGATTACAAGCATGTGCCACCCATGCCTGGCATTTTTTTTTTAGATGGGTGGAGTGCAGTGGTGCAATCTTGGCTCACTGCAGTCTCTGCCTCCTGGATTCAAGCAATTCTCCTATTACGGCCTCCTGAGTAGCTGGGATTATAGGTGCCTGCCACCAAGTCCGACTAATTTTTTTGTATGTTTAGTAGAGATGGGGTTTCACTATTTGGCCAGGCTGGTCTCGAACTCCTGACCTCAGGTGATCCACCTGCCTTGGCCTCCGAAAGTGCTGGGATTACAGGCAGGAGCCACCATGCCTGGCCGAAGATAAGGTTTGAGTAGGACTGAGGTTAAGGTCATGAGCAGAGTTGAGGCGGGGCTAAAATGGGGTTCAGAGCTGGGTTTAGGTTGGAACTGAGTCCAATTGTAGGGTTGAATTCACATTGGGCATCAATATAGAGGGGCAGATTAACGTTGAGGATGAGGTTGAGACTGAACCAGACTCTGGGGGTGAGTTCACATTGGGTGTTGGTATTGAGGGAGCACATGGTTGGGTTGGGATTGACCCAGATTCTGGGGTTAAGTTCACATGGGGTGTTGGTATTGAGAGGAAGACATGGTTCGGTTGGGATTGACTCTGACTCTCGGGGTGAGTTCATATTGGGTGTTGGTATTGAGGAGAAGACATGGTTGGGTTGGGATTGAGTCAGATTCTGGGGTTGAGTTCACACTGGGTGTCAGCATTTGGGGAGGACCAGGGTTGGGTTTGGGGTTTCGATTGAGTCCGTGTGTTTCCACTGTCATTTGCTCCCAGTATCCCTTCCCATCAAGGATCCAGAGAAGGAAAACAAAGCTGTGAGCACTCACTGGGAGACCTGGATGTCCTGCAGGACCCCGTATCCCTGCTGGTCCAGGTGGGCCCTGGGAGAACAGGAAACAGAATAAAAAACTTCCTCAGGTGTAAGATCAGAGAGGGCACTGGATATATCAATCGCCACCTCCCTACCCACACCCCTTTATGAGAACAACTTCCCCCACCCGGCAGCACAGCTGCATCCCCCCAAATCCTGTCTTCTCAGCCATCAGCTAATGGGACCAGAGACAGACACCTGTCCTAAGCCCAGCCCTGGCCATCAGGACCTTTCCCCACAAGTTCTACCAAGACCAGGGACGAAGCTGGCTCAGTGATGGGGGACACTGGAGCTGACGTTCTGGGGGGAAGTTGGGAATCAGATGCCTCAGTGCCTGCCATGTGGAGTCACAGGCAGAGAGAAGGACGTGTCACTAAGAAGGGAGAAGGAGGCCGGGTGCGGTGGCTCAAGCCTGTAATCCCAGCACTTTGGGAGGCCGAGGCGGGTGGATCACGAGGTCAAGAGATCGAGACCATCCTGGTCAACATGGTGAAACCCCGTCTCTACTAAAAATACAAAACATTAGCTGGGCATGGTGGCGCGTGCCTGTAATCCCAGCTACTCAGGAGGTTGAGGCAGGAGAATTGCCTGAACCCAGGAGGCGGAAGTTGCGGTGAGCCGAGATCGCGCCATTGCACTCCAGCCTGGGTAACAAGAGCGAAACTCCGTCAAAAAAAAAAAAAAAAAAAAAGAAGGGAGAAGGAGGTCACCCCCACCCCAGTGCCTTTCCAGTTCTTCGGGAGCCCCAGCTATCCTTATCCTGTCTACAGTTGGGTTCTGTGGCCCCACTGCTCCAGGCAGCTCAAGTACCTTTTGTTGCATGTAGGTGTCAAGATGGTGCCTGGGAAGGCAGAAAACTCCATGGCCTCTCCTCCCCCATAATGATCTCCACATCCCTGACCTCCTCTCTCTTCTGCTACCTGCCCCACCCCGCCTCACTGGGGATCTCCACTCACCGCATCTCCTTTATCGCCTTTGATCCCCTTGTGACCAGGGGCGCCGACGTCCCCCTGCAGAGGAAATGGGATGAAGGACCCAGCTTCCGTTCACCCCCATCCTCCCCTGGACCCTTCCTCTCTGTGAACCACTCACCTTGTCCCCTTCCTCGCCAGAAGGCCCAGCAGCTCCAGGGGGTCCCAGAGGCCCTAGGGGCCCTGGGATCCCATCTTTGCCAGTGGGGCCAGGGGGGCCACGTTCTCCCTGTTGTGGGGAATGGAAAGGGGAATGTCAGGGCAGGAATGTCCTGCAGGAGCCCATTCCTGGGATGTGGCTGGGCCAGACCCTGAGGGGGCCCTAGGAATGGGATGGGCAGGTCACTTACTGGGGACCCCTTCTCGCCTGCAGGCCCAACGGGGCCTTGGTTGCCACTTTGGCCAGGAAGTCCAATGCCTCCTGCTGGGCCCAGAGGACCCCGCTCACCAGGGGAGCCCTGAAAACAGAGGTGACAGGTCAAGAATAATACCAGTAGTAGCCCTCCTTTATAGAGGGTTTTTAAGCCACCAGGTACTGAGTTCTGCAATTATCAAGACGGTATCTAAATTGTTCCCTTCCTGCAGCAGCCAGAGGTGCCTGTGAGCATGTGAGGGGCAGGGCACGTTCTTCTCCTGCTCAAGAACACTCCATGGCTCCCATATCACTTAGAGCAAAAGCCAAAGTCCTCCTGGCAGCCCATACACACACATACACATACACACACACACATACACACACACACATACACACACACACACATACACATATATATTTATATACATATATACACACATATGTATTTATATACACATATATACATACACACAAATACATATGCATTTACATGTGTATGTATGTGTATATATATGTATATATATGTTTATGTATGTATTGGTAAAGACAGGGTCTGGCTATGTTACCCAGGCTGGTCTCAAACTCCTGGGCTCAAGCAATCCTCCATCCTCAGCCTCCCAAAGCGCTGGGGTTACAAGCATGAGCCACCACGCCTGGCCCAAGAAAAAGGGTTTTTATATGTTGGTGGCCAACACACAGGTAAGTATTTGTTGGATAAATCATCTCATTGAGGCTTGTGATCATACCTGAGATGAGGCTTCTCATCATGGCTATTTTACAGACAAGGAAACTGAGGCTTGCCAAGGAATACAATTGCCCAGCCAGTAAGCAACAGAACTGATCTCGGCTCACTGCAACCTCTACTGCCCAGGTTCAAGAGATTCTCCTGCCTCAGCCTCCAGAGTAGCTGGGATTACAGGCATCCACCACCATGTCCGGCTAATTTTTGTATTTTGAGTAGAAACAGGTTTCCACCATGTTGGTCAGGCTGGTCTCGAACTCCTGGCGTCAAGTGATCCACCCACCTTGGTCTCCATCATGGGTTTTATCATGACAATGTCAAGCTTCCAAGACACCTTGAGTCCCTCCACCCTGCCCCCTACCCAGCACACAGGGCTATACTTACATTGGCCCCGACGGGCCCTGGGGGTCCCTTGTCACCCTTCAAACCAGTAGGTCCCTGAAGGAGACGAAAATTCACAGTCAAGAGACTCCCAACGGTGTCCCCAAGTCCTGTCTTCCTCTAGGGGGAGCTCACAGTCCCCACCCCTCTCCTGGGACTGGACACTGAGCTTTGAGGGGTCTGCCTCTCAGTTCCCGCCACCGTCTTTTTTCTTTCATCATTTCCCCTACTCCAAATGCCATTCCCCCAACCCCCTGCAGCCCCCCATCCTTTCCTTCTCTAAGGGACATGCGAGAGGGTCTCCAAAGATACTTACCGGGTCCCCAGGGGCCCCCTTGGGGCCAGGAAAGCCCCTGGGTCCAGCTGGCCCTTCCTTCCCAAGGGGTCCTGGTGGTCCCAGTTCCCCCTGCGGAAGTGGAAAGGAGGGAAGTCAAGCTCCAGGGAGGGGCTGTCTCCTTCTAGTCTGTGACTCAGGGCCCCTCCCCCACGAGACTGATTCTGAGCCCTTGGTTGATCTTGGATGTTCAGCCAAAATCTCCAGTAGACAGTGTCTCACCTTGGCTCCCTCTTTGCCTTCCAGGCCAGGAAGACCTTGTTCACCAGGAGGTCCAGGGGGACCCGGAGGCCCCCTTTCACCCAGAGGTCCCACTTCTCCTGTCTTTCCCTGGTGAGGAAGAAGGCTCCTCTTGAGTGAGGGTGGCCTGGGGGAGATGCTCAGGTGTCCAGCTTCCTTCTAAACATCCCCCAACTGGTACAAAACAAGGGAAGTTTAAGGAGTCCACGCTGACCTGAGGGCCCAAGACACCAGCTGGTCCAGGCGGGCCTGTCTGACCTTGGAAGCCCTGGAGAGAAAAATTAAATGGGGCGGGGGGGAATGTTACATGGGGAAGGGATGGGGGAGGGGAAGACAAATAGGATCGGGAATCTGGCCAGGCGCAGCGGCTCATGCCTGTAATCGCAGCACTTTGGAAAGTCGTGGTAGGTGGGGCCACTCGAAGCCAAGAGTTCGAGACGAGCCTGGCCAACATGATGGAGCCCCGTCTCTACTAAAAATACCAAAAATAGCCAGGCGTGGTGGCATACTCCTGTAGTCCCACTCAGGAGGCTGAGGCAGGAGAATTGCTTGAATCCCGGAGGCACAGGTTGCAGTGAGCTGAGATCGCCCTACTGCACTCTAGCCTGAGCAACAGAGCGAGACTCTGTCCCATTAAAAAAATAAATAAATAAAAGGATCAGGTATCAAAGGTTGAGGGGTTACTCACCAATTCTCCTCTCTGTCCAGGGTGCCCTGGTCGTCCATCTTTACCTTGGTGACCCTGGGGGGTGAGGTAGGAAAGAGTTGGGGCACAGATACAAGGCTTCCTCCCTTCCCACATCCTCCACCCACCCAACCCACAATGAGGGTGACATCACTCACAGGGGGGCCCTTTGGCCCGGGGAATCCTGGAGGGCCTTGCAGACCAGGGAGGCCCTGAAATGGAGCCGAAGTCATTATCTCATCCTCCTGCCTGACTGCCCACTCCCTGAGCCTGACACAGCAACAACAGGAGCCAGCACATACTGAGTGCTTACTGCATGCCAGGCACAAGGCAGGGCATTCTCCACACAGCAAGTCATTGTATTCACTACTGCAGCCCTTTAGGGTGGAGGCTAAGGTTACTTCCATTTTACAGAGGAGAAAACTAAGGTACAGAGAAGTTAACTGGCTTGCCCAATGTCACACAGTAGGTGGGTGGCAGAGCCAGGACTTGAACTCATGGCTCTGACTTCAGAGGCTGTGCTCCTTCTTTTTTCTTTTTTTAATGATGGAGTCTTGCTCTGTCACCCAAGTTGGAGTGCAGTGGTGTGATCATAGCTCACTGCAGCTTCCAACTCCTGGGCTCAAGTGATGCTCTCTTCTCAGCCTCCAGAGTAGCTGGGACTACAGGCAGGCACCACCACACCCAATGAAGCTGTGGTCTTCCCACTGCATTATAATGTCTCTTCATCTCCTGGGCTTGTCCTCCACTCAGAAGCTCTCTCTCTCTCTTTCTCTCTCTCTCTCTCTCTCTCTCTCTGTCTCTCTCTCTCACACACACACACACACACACACACACACACACACACACACACTCACCTTTTCTCCAGGGATCCCAGGGGCCCCGTCCTGGCCCACATCGCCCTAGGACAGAGTGAATGAGACTCAGGCCCCAGAACAAACTCAACTGGGAAAAACTGGGAGGGACTAGCTGAGCCTGGGGCATGGGGGGCCTTGATCGCCCACCCATCCCATACCTTGGGGCCTGGTTGCCCTGTGGCACCTGGTTGCCCCCTCTCTCCACGGGAGCCCTGAGCAAAAAAAAAAAAAAAAAAAGGCAAAGATCAGATGTGAGGGGTTAGGGGAGCATGGGAGATGGGACCGAGTCTTCCAGGTCCTCTCCCCTTGTGACTCCCTCTCCCACCCCACCAGGGTCATTGATGTAACCGAAACCCTTTCCCTGCCCACTGATGATCCCTCCACCACCTCTCCTTCCCAGCCCTGTCCCGAAGTCCCAGCAGGGTAGGGGCACTCTCTATTTTCTTACTGGTGGTCCCCGCTCTCCTTCCAGCCCTGGCTGTCCTGCCTTTCCCTGAAAATAAATTGTAAGAGAGAAAGCAGAAGAAAATTAGAGTGCAAAGGCATGACACAAACACAAAATGGCACCTAGTCACAGACCCAGAAAGGTGTCTGCCACACATTTATTCACAAGCCTTTCAGTCATACACATACACACAAATACAACTTATACTCACAACCATGCAAAGATACACACACAATTACAACTATCATTGCATCTACAGAGTCCAAATGTGCAAGCATGTTTGCCCACACAGACATATATTTATCACAGCTGTGCAGTATGCATACATGATTGCATGCAATCATGGCGTGCATTTGGCAACCCACAGCCTGAAGATGAGATACAGATCTCATCATGCAATAGATCTTTTGCGCACATGTATACCCACTGTAAACACATGCATGCCTGGATTCATCTGAGGACCTTGTCCTGGTAAGCAGAGCAGCATACATACACTCATGTACATATATACAATGTTCATTAACGCTGTTACAATACACACATAGCAACACAAATACAACATATGCCTGTATACACATCACTCAGTGTGCACAGAAGCACACACATGTGTATACACCTGTCCTTTCACATGTGTGTACAAGCTTCTTGCACACATTTATGCCCACCATCATGCCCTTGTTTGCCCAGGCACAGGCCTGCAGGCTGCAGTACCCAAACCCTGTCTGATCTATATTGAAAGACACATGAAACACACATACACGTACTTACAGTCATATTTACAGTAATACCATGTGTGGTCACCTACATGTCACGCATTGCATATAATAGCATGTGTGCACACAAGTGCTTCCAGGCATAGACACAGACACCCATCATCGGGCACATCCACACATGCTGTTCCCCTTGGACAAGTTCGCCCCTCTCCCTTACCCCGGTCATGACTCACCGACTTCCCTTTCTCTCCTATGGGTCCCAGGGGCCCGGGAAATCCAATGGATCCCTGAGTGAAGAGAATTAGAAAGAAGACTTGAGGGTGAAGAGTGAGTGGTGCATGGAATTGACCCTTCATATCGTCCTTTGGGGCATTTCCAGGTCACTGATTCCAGAAGCTTCCTTGGTCTCTAGCCCCAGTCTCCTCCAAGGCAGCCCTCTTCTCTTCTCTCCCTTCCTCTCCTCCCTTCTCATTTCACTCCAGCAAAACTGGCCTCCTAGATATTCCTTGAGCACAGCAGTATGTTCCTGCCTCAGGGCCTTTGCACTGGCTGCTCTCTTTGCCTGAAATGCTCTTCTCCTAGGTCTCCACACAGTCAGCGACTCCTGACCATTTAGGTCTCATTCAGATGTCACCTCCTGAGAATGCCTTTCTTCCGCCATCCTGACTTTCACACATTGCCCAAGTCACCCTCTGTCTGTCACATTGTGCTATTTTGTTTTCCCAAGAACTCTTGCATTGAAATGACTCTTATTCACTTACTTATTCAATGCCTGTTTTCCTTCACTGGGACATAGCTCACTGGTCTTACTCCCCACAGTGAGTGCTTTTTAATATTTGTTAACTGACTCCAGTCCATGCTGGAGGAACCTTCCCTCCACTTGGGGGAAGACATCAGAGACTCTGATATCCTCTCACACTCCTCACTGTGCAGACTGAGTTCAGATTAGAAAAGAGATTTGCCAAGTACCTGGGTGCGGGTGGCATCCAGCCTCAAATTCCATTCCATCCCTCTACCCTCCCTTCCCATCTGGGGGCTCCATGGTCCCTATACTCATTTTTTTTTCCTTTTCTTTAGAGACAGAGTCTCACTTTGTCACCCAGGCTGGAGTGCAGTGGTATCAATCATAGCTCACTGCAGCTTCCACCTTCTTAGCTCAAGTGATCCTCCTACCTCAACCTCCTGAATAGCTGGGGCTGCAGGTGCACGCCACCATGCCCAGCTAATTTTTAGAAT